CGGCAAACATGTCTATATCTGCATTCTTCCTTTAGCCTTTTGAAAAGGCAGATTTAAATCATGTCACATAATGTATCGATCCTTAAGAAACGGATTCTTTTTTCAGAAAATTTCATAAATTATATAAACCAAATCAAGAATTCATCGAATTTTAACGAAGAATAATTACCAGTCAGTCGAAAATAATTGCAATTAATCAATAATATGGCTCAATAAAAAAAAGAACAGAAAGATAATTATTTTTTATAGATTTTTATTCCCGACTGCTGTCTACGGTTGTTAAGTCACAATGCTTTATTATATTATAATTTTAAGAAATTTGAAATTAAAGTTTTAAAAAAGGATTATTTTAACATAATTTGTCACAACTATAAAATGATTAAATATAATAAATGCTGAAATTTTTTATCTTTTGCCATCTTGGATATACATATATGTAAATAATTAAAATTATTGTATTCAGTAGATGCGCATGATTTTTAATAATTTAACATAGCCTTTTAACAATGTCCAATGAGTTTAATCATGGAAATCTTATTAACTTTAAACTTTATCACAGAGAAATTTTATATAGATTGTAAAAATTTAATAATATATTTATATAATTTTTAAGAAAATAAAACATTTCTAAATATCATAACAATAACATGATAAATTATATTAAAATATAGTCCTTTTTTTGACAATTTTAACTCTAAACTTGTGATTTGTTTCTTTGTAGATTCATATTTAGAAAAAAGCTATAGATTATTTTCATTCTTGCATTTATACAAACACAATTATTTTATGTTTGAACTGTATAATCACAGCAGAGTAAAATCACGCGCGCGTTTTTTTCTTTCGGGTACTTTGCATACATGTAAACTGTCAAAAGTTTGACGTAAATCGTAAATAAATTAGGATAAATTTCTTTATATCTATATCATATATAATTTCTCAAAATAAAACATTAATGAAATAATCTTTTATTTTATTCTTTTTTTATTAAAAAAATAAAATTTTAATATATATTATTTTTAAAAAGAATAAAACGAAGAATTATTTTGTTCATTAATGTTTTATTTCCAAAATTTTCATAAAATCTATATTGCAATACGTTTAAAATATTTTTCCTCTAAGTGATCTTATTTTCTCTAAGATATCTTGTTAATAAGCAAGTTTTAAAATAAATCTCTTTCAATACAAAATGTTTTCGGAAATTAAATACATAATATTCGAGAAATATTGCAATTGAAAGTTTAATTATTGTTAGATATTTTTATTCTTCTCGCCTATCGCGTTAAAAAGTAAAATTTTAAAAATTTAGCGCGCATTTTTTGGAAACTACTAAAGTTTCAAAGTTTGATGAGAGAGAAAGAGAGCGAAAATCTCTCATACTTTTATTTTTATTATTTACTTTACTTTTTTTTACTTTACTTTACTTTACTGCGCTTTTACTTTAAAATTAAGTGCCTAGTCTTCGAGGAAGTCTTGTAAATAAATGCGCGAGAGAAACACAGTTTGCGCATAGATGCACATATATATTCCTACACACAAGTTCTTTCCCATTCTCTCGCCTTTGAGGTTCCTGTTTCGTCAATCCCTTCCGCAGGAACCAGGGACTCGATTGTGGGCGGCCATCAAGGGAGCGGGAAGGAAGCAGAGATCCCAAAGAGAAGGGAAGAGAGAAGTAGATCGGGCTTTGGTGGAAGGAGACCCTTGAAGAAGAGCACTGTGCAGGTAGCTCTCAGAGGACGCCTACAAACCTGTTTTACCTGTCTTGGACCTCGGCTTATATGAGTACCGGTCGATTGTATGGCCTGTGATGCCGATGATCATGGTGTTTGGCGCGCTTTTTTTCAAGGAATGCTTGGGCGCATCGCGCGCCGAACCGGCTGTTTTTAACCACAATGACGATCTTTCTTCATTCGCCGCGCCTTAGTAAGTATAAGTAGGGATGGATTCGCGCGTACACGAGAACGTAGGAATTTTAGACATGTCTGAAACAGCCGCGTATATTCTTGTTTTTTCTCGAAGAAGAAATATATAAATTTTGAATATAATTTGAATATAATTTGCATCATTAAAACGCAAATAAAAATCAAAAACTACATGTTGTACAACGTAATAAAATTAAATAAATCGATTAAAAATACAATAAAATTCAACTTCTATTTTTTTCGAAACACTTATCGATATTTTACTGAACTTTGGAAAATGTTTTTAAGTGATTCAATTATTCATAATAACTCGTGTGTAAGCAATGACCTGTGATTAATTTAGGAAGTTACCTTTGATTGCGAATATTAAACATTAAAATTCATATGTAAATACATGTTGATTCATCAACTTTGCATATATTAATAAAAAAGAAGAATGATATTTTGATCGGTTTCGTTTTTTCTTGGTAATAATTCAGGATGTTTATTCGAGTCTGATAATTTCAGTTTGACTAAATTGCATTGCGCGATTTATATATATATATAAAAAAAAAAGACAAAACAGATTCGATAACACTCGTTCGAGCCGAAAATTAGACTTGTTATCGTGGCAAGGTCAAGGTTTAATACTGATTAACTATCTGGTAATACGGTTATATATATAGAATATGAAATGAACAATCATTTTATTTCCGTTTCTCAAATAAGATTTCCTAGAAATTGAATTCAATAAATATTCCTTATTCGTGATTAAACTCGGAAGTTGTATCATCACCAATGATTTTAATTAAGGAAAATAAAAATTCATCCCCCCCCCCCCCGAACCGATTAAAGAATCTTATCCGGATATAAATCGATGATTTTATCTAATATCGTAATATAAAATATGATAAAGGGAGGATAGAAATCGCTCGCAGACCAGACCACGTGCATTGCGCGTGGCGATATATTGACACAACTTTTCGCGTTTTGCCGCGATTAAGATAAGCCAGGGAACAGCGACGGTAGCGGAACCATTGATGGGAGGCGGAAGGGAGGGACGAGAACGAGAGAAGGACTTGTTTGCTTGAGATTATAGTGAATTAATGAGTTCGACCAGGTCAACAACAACACGGTTGAAATTTATCGAAGCAAGACCATGTATCTTTTCGTTTTTTTGACAGTTCTTTGCTAATAATACGGAACTTCATGTCGTTAAAGATGAAAAAAAAAAACTTTTAGCAGATAATTTGGAAAAAATTATTTAATTATTTAATATGCAAAGTCTTGTACTAATTATGTTTTGCTATTGGACAGCATAAAAGTATTGTAAATGTTTTAATATCAATTTCATAGTATTCTTACAATTAGTTTTAATAGTAATAGTAGATAATAATATTAGAGATTATTATTATTCCGTATCATACAGCAAATAATAAATATTCCAATTAATTAAAAATTTTTATATCTCGCTTATGATATCTTTTATTCAATTCTCTCTTTTATATTTCTCTACAAGTGTTGTCTTATAAGCGTTTTCTCTCATAATTTAATATCCCTTTTTTCGCAAAGTTTGAATTTACGCATTTCATTATGTTTCGCAAAGGAAACGTAAAATAACCGGTTGTCAATCATCGCGCTATTATACATACTGTGTAAATAATAAAACGTATAGAAGAGGGAACATATTCACAAAAAGCGCGATTATCGAACAAAAAAGCTGAAATAAAAACAATTTAAAATTATTCCAAATAGTAGCGTATAATTTTACAGCATCTCATCGAGACATTTGTTCTCATCTTTATTTTCTGAAATAATTTTAACAAGCAGCAACATTAAAATTTCGCGACGTCCGATATTTGCATTCGAGTTTTTATTGTTGATACAACGTTATTGATACGGCGATCGCTTTTTATATCGCAAAAGCCCGATGATCTGCATTTTGGCCATGGATTATTATCTGTTTACATAAGATGGAATGTAGATATTGATCATATTAATAATTCAATTTGGAAATTCAATTATCGCAGAGGCCGCCTATTTTAAAGACACAGCTTTTTTTATAAAAAGTCATAAATTTTATTTTCATTAGCGACGAAAATTTGTTTATTCAATCTATCTTATAATATGTATTACATTTTAGAGAAAGACAGACAACTAATATATTAATTTATTATTGCTTACGCGATTAATCTATAATCACTATTCAATTATTTCCCGTCCGATTAAGTATCTTATTTCACGATTAATTAGCCGAGTATAATTTTTGCTATAGCGTTAATCTAACTTCACGCAAGAAATTTAAAGAATGATATGTGCATCGGTTCTATCCATTATATGATGTTGTAAGAATCATGTGGCTTATTTTTGCGTAATTAAATCGCATAATAAAATATAATAGAAAATACTGATAATAAGAAGAAAAATTAAAATAAAAATATAAATATTAGTAAACACAGATAAGAAATGTATTTTTAAAAGATCGTTTAGATCCGCAGATGTATTTGTATCTTATAATGTTGAATTTTTTAATTAAAAATCCGGCAAAGATGTAATAATTCATATGCAATTATATATATGAATATATAGAAAAAAATTAGGTTCTTATAATGAACGAAAATATTAATAGCATGCGCTATTTATCATAGATCGATAAAAAATAATATGAAGATTAATTGCCGTTGTATATTTTTTTTTAGAAAAAGGAAAAATTTGAGAAACGATTAGATTTTATGTAATATATTTTACATATATATAATTTGTATATAAGCAATCTTTTCTCGAGCAAGTTTATAAACTATGCCTCGTAATCTATTCGCAAAATTTATTTTTTCTAAAAAATACAATGCGGAAGCAGTTAACCTTCTTACTTTTTCCGTGATCTATGAACCATAGATGGCGCTCGTGATATTTGCCCTCTTATAATCAAAAATATATCTTCATAAATAATTACGTACATTTTTACATGATTACGTAATTCTTTGCCCGGGAAAAAGATTCAGCATGTATAAATATGTTATTTCGTTACATTTTCTTTTATTTCACCTTTGTACGTGAACATTTATGCGCAAGAATATTGCATAAAATTCCAGGAATATTTACCTAACAAATGCATGTCGATCGAAAGTCCAGGGTCCGTTAGGCTACTGTCTCGGCTGCTTCCATCAAGCTGTTGCACGTTGCGCGCATGTGGAAACGATCGGCCGGGGTTAACTCGACGACAATCACGATCGCGATTACGAGGAAGCTACGAGGAAGTCGGCAGGAATATCTTTTTTCTCTCTCTCACCACTTTTGCGCGCCGCGACTCCGCGGTGATCTTCCCCACTCAATCGCCATGACAACGGTTCGATTATTTCCGCTGGCGCCGTCGCTAACGCCGGCACGCGATTGGCCGAGCGCCGTTACCAATGACTGCTCGCCCCGAAGTGCGCGCCGTCTCGCTCGCGCTCCGTCACTGCGCAGGGGCGCTGGGAGGGGGGAATGCGCGAGTCTGGCGGCAACCTTCCACTCTGTGTTTCCTATAGCTGCGGGCTCAGTCGCTCGCTGACCTCGGAACGCGCGACGGTGTCTGGGATGTGTAGTTGACAGCCGCCTCGCAGTCGTACCGCAATTGCCGCGCGTTGCCGCACCAACGAGTCGGAAGCGATCGCTTCGTCCGCGCCTCGACCTTCTCCGATCTTCGCGTCACGTCTGTACATCGGCCGACTTCAGTTCGGTGAAGATAGGTGGAAACGAGACAAGTGCCGCCGCGATCAAAGACGAAGTGACACACAAGTGCGCGACGAGTGCTAACGACCGAGGATTCTCTCCCGTTCTCTTCTGTGATACGTAACGAGGAGCGCCGTCGCCTCTATCTCGCGACCGCGAGATAATCCCTCTCACGTGTTCGCGCCGCCGCGGCGAAAAGTTTCGTGCGCGGGGGACGGTGCCTGTCTATCGCCGTCTATCTCTCTCTCTCTCGCGCGCGCGGATGTCGCCCGCCGCGACCTGATTACGCGCCGCATGTCGCCCCGTGCGTGGCACGAGGAACGGCGACGATTCGCCGTCCGATGAACGTCAAAACGTTTTGTGTCGGGTTGAACGACGGCGACGACGGCCAGTGATATTACAGCTGGACTTTGGCAAAGGATTTTATCGACGAGACATCACGACTGACAGTGGGACGAATCGAAGCGGAGACAGCGACCCAAGGTAAATTATACGCATATTTTTTCCGCGTAATCCATGTCTCGAGCCACGTCGCGATGTTGCAGTGCGTGCATGTGTGTGTGTGTGTGTTTGTATGTATATGTGCGTCCGCGCACGATTCTTCCGATCCTTCGGTTGTAAACAAACTGACGTTTATGTCGTTGTGTAGTGTTGTCGTCGTCGCCGCTGCCGCCGTCGCGTTTCGTAGAAACGTCGTTTCTTTTTTCTCTTCCCGGAATTATAAGGAGTCGGCGATTCGCGAACTTTGTATTTATGTATATATGAGCACGATTTACGAAAATTTACAATAAAACTTATCGTTCTTATCGCGTCTTAGGTTAGCGATGGATGGACATAAGTCGAATTTAATACAGTCGATCGGTTTTTTAAATCTGACAGTTGAGTAATTTGTAAAATGGTTCCTCATTTTGTGTGATTTTTATATAATCTTTTTTTTAATTATGTAATTTCTCTTTTCGCGAGACGTGATTTCGCGATGCTTGACTTGTTATTTCGACATTGTTTACATAAGCGCGAAATATCTCACTGAATAGTATTGAATGCGGAATTATTTTTTTATAAACATAAATTATGTCCGGAGCATTAACTCATATTTTTATTCTCATTTCACGAAGAAGAATGGATTTGTTTACCTCTGTTACTTTCAAATGGATGTCAAAATATATATATGTCAAAAAAAAAACATAAAATGAATATGTCAAATAGATATGTCTAATAGACACATTTAATAATAAAAAATAGGACTCGAGGTTCAAAAAATTTACATGAACAGACCTTTTTAATCGTATTGACAATTTACATTTCGAGTGCGTATAATTTGACAAATCATTTTTTTTTCGCATATCGTTATCTATATAATTTCTAATTTAATCGCAAACTTTTCCTCATGTCGACACGATCCATCCTCGTATGTATAATTTATTCTTGTTTTTACCCGCATCCGCGTCAGTCTCGAGAGGTCAGCACTCGATGATGCTGGTCAATTTTCCGTTCTCCCTCGATTCTCCTCGTTGCCGCGAATCTCTCTCGAGAGATTCGGAGCGAAGCGCGCGCGGCTCGTTACGATCCGAAGAGTTAATTCCGGCGCGGAACCCGGAAATCCGCTAAAAGCCCGACCTCGCTTTAATCCGCTCGGCGATGTTAATAACCGGTCGTGCGGAATCCAATTAACACGGACCGCTGACGTCAATCGCCGCCTCTTGGCCGCGACTTTGTTATGCGAAACATCGCTGTAAGCAAATATAAGCGCGTCCGCCGACTGTTGTCTCTTTGGAAACGGAGGGTAAACGCATCGGAGGCTCGATAAGAGCAAAATGAATCGACTATTATTGCGAATTCTCTGTTGCGAATAAAACGAAATCACTCGGGAGATCGTATTTTATTGATTAAATGTTTCTCTCGAAAATCTGCATGACATATATAACAATACTAATAACGTAAGAGATATAAAATAATGAATGAAATAAAATAAATATATGAAATATAAAACAACATAACGAATACAAAATTATAAATATGTAATCTCGATATTACTAAAGCAATTTATTATATCTCGTCGTATAAGGGGTAACTTTAAAATGCTAATTGGAGATTATTGGTGGCATATCTTGATGCAATTTTAAATGCCATTTGTGCGATTATATATAATTAGACGTAGTTGTGTGTAGTATATAATTATGTTTGACATATGGCGAGAGTTGAGGTGCTTAGGCTACTCTTTTAAGATACTTAAACTACTTCTGAAATTGCTTCCTGGTAGGATAGCCTGCGCGACATGATTTATGTAAACTTTAAACGTCTTCTTTATATATTTATACGAATATAAATTAAAAAGCTATTTTCTCGCGAAATGTTTAGATTTTTAGATTTTAGCTTTGGATTTTTACACATACACACATATTTTAAATACAAGCAGATAGTGAAACATTTTTTTATAGACGTTTTTTTATCTTTTTTGCCGAAGATTAAAATATTTCGAATATATGTGAGAGTAGATATCACGCACATGCACATATTACGCAAAAAATGAAGTAAACGCGAATTTCAAATATATCTCGCGGATATTGAAAAATATTCACGGACCCACAATCGCTCGGATTTTGTTTTAAATGGATCTTCGGGCGATGTCTATCGGAATAAAAAAGACCTGCCTAAGGCGCCTCTATCACCCTATTCGCGATATAATCGAAGGGACCCGATCCGCAATCACATAAGGAAATGTTTTACGTAAACCAGCCCGGTAGGAACCGTTCGTATTTCTTAATCGTTATTGAGGAAGTTGCGCGTTATCATTTATATAACGAGCGAGCGAGCGGACGAACTCGCGCGCGTAATACCTGTCCGCTCGCGGCTTTCGCAAGATTTCCACGAGCCTTGTGCGAAACTGGTTCTCTTTTTCCTCCTCAAATTTGCAGCTCGTGCCTCCGTAAAGCTGTTATGAATCAAAGATCGAAATCGCTGTAATTTTGACGAGTTCAGCTTTCCACGCCAACGAGATTGTTGCGTTACGTTATCAAGATGTACATGAGGATTATATGTTTGCGCACGCTATCGAAGCCTGAATTCGCCTAAAAACTGTATTGGATATGATTTCTATCACGAAATACGTGTTAAAATATATTAAAAGAGAGAATTATGATAGATTCTTCAACATGTGCGTTTGTTTACGACAATATTGATTCTTGCTCATAAAAGTAAATTCTTTCTAGTTTTAGATAATTTCTCGTTTTCTGTTGAAAAAAATTATTATTGAAATATTTGTAATGTTATATTAAAATGCAATATTTAAATGGAAATTTAAATTTTCCATTTTTCCTTCCTTTTAATCGATTGGATAGCGAAAATTTACGTCGCGTTTATTCTTTTCACTAATAAATCTTTGAAAAAAATAACGACTGTTAATTTTAATGTCATTAAAAAAATGACGTTACATTTATTACGTACATTATCGCGTGATTACTTCAATCAATCTTACGACGAAAGCAGATAACGAGAGATTTATTTCTAGGAAAAAAATTTCCTAAATAAATTAAATATGAGAGAGAATGAAAAATTGAAATTTTTCCTAAATAAATGAGAGAGAATCCTCTCGGTTTCTCGCCTCGGTAAGCGCGAGTCGGAACTACGCTTTTCTCCTTTGTCCGATCGAGACGCGGATTGATTTCTGATTAATGCGGATCCTTTCTGCGATACTTCCTCATTGCGAAACCGCGGAACGGCAGCCGACAAGACGCGCGCAATTAAATCTTCTCTACGAGAAGAATCTCGCCGTGGAGATGTTTACAAACTCCGTAAGTAGATAGTAAGAAGACAAAGCGTGGAGTCTCGCTCATTGGCGTAATCAGCTGACGTCTGTTCGGGAAAATACGTGACATTTCATTTGTCAAAACATCTGTCAAGAGATCACGCGATCGAAATATAATTATTAATAACATTATTAATCGTGTTAATAAATAAACAGCATAGATATCTGAGATCTGAAGCAAATCTTTTTCTTTTTTAAATTCTTCAAGTAGCACGAAATATATTTTTATTAATTATGTTTATTAGTTTTTTAACGTATGTAAGATCGTGTATTAATTTTTTATCAATCAACTTCACTTCAAGTGTGCCTTGACAATACGCAATGATGTATTAAAGTATACGTTAGGGACGATTCGGGTTAACAATTCAAAGCCAAAGGAACGTATATGAATTTAACATAAATTGTAACGTGGTATATTTGCGTGAGAAATCGCGGAGTCATTTGTTGTCGATTCCACGCGATGATTCCTATCGGGCTGACACGAAGATATCCGCTGGTCACCGGTGGTATCCGGTGATGACGCCATTGCTGCTGGCTGGCAGACGACTGCGATATATGCATAGGTTATTATCTGTATGCACGGGTTACAAAGAGTGTGGCGAACGGGCGGTTGCCTAATCCCCTCTCTCGTCCGGGTGGCCGTCGTCGTATTCTTAACTTTGATACGATGCGTCGTCGTCATCGTCGGATACAAATACACGCGTATTGCATTGCGGCTGCAACCCGAGCTGCCATCTTGGCAGAAGACGAGAGAGAAAGAGCGAAAGAAAGAAAAAAAGAGACACGCTGTGCGGGTGGAAGCTCAAACGACAAAACCGGAAGTTCGT